AACCTGAATACGAGAACCTGAATTCTGTCCGGGGCAGAACCTGAATAACACAACATGATTCTATGAATGCATGGACGGCTTCCATGATTTGTCCATTTCCATTGATCTAAGAAGACACTCAACGCACCAAGATCCATATCTGCAGCTTTGGGCCGATGAGAACAAGGCACGTTCTTGAAGATGGCATCCAGGAACTTCTCCTTCACTTGGGTGATGGTGTCACAGTTCAAGATCTTCACTGGAATCTCAGGGGTGTTGACATTATCAGGATTCACGCAACTCAGGACCTGTAGAAGGTTGGTTGAAAGAAAGGAAACATATCAGACTGTGGTCTAGAACTTTGTAAGTAATACATTTGGGTGGAGTTTGGACAAAATTCGACATTGGATTAAAGTGGTGATGGAAATATATGGTTTCAATATATCGCAGGCAACCCAACCAAGTGTGAACAAAGCCATTATAACTGGATATGTTTTGTCAGTGTTGTGGTTCGCCGGCAGCAGGTGCAGATGGCTGAGGTCACGGAGAGCGAGGACTCAGAGGACAGGCCTGGGATGGGGCCAGGACCATCAGCGAGTGGAGTGCTGCCTTCGGAGATTGTGGAGGCTGGCAGCAGTGATGAAGAGGTTCCCGAGGAGCCTATGCACAGTGCATGTGTGCGCACGGCTGCTTGTAGGAAAGAGCAGCTGCAGCAGCACAGGCAACTCAGGAGTAAGGCTGCAAGGTAATGCCCCCTCCCTTCAGAGAAAAAAGCCAGCTGAGAAGCCAGAGTTCTTTGCAGGAAGCAAAGACGTTTTTGCACTCAAGCCTTGTGGATGTTCGGACTCCCTTAGTTTGTGTATGGAGACTCTTTGTGTTTGAAATATTTCTTGGCAACTTTATCTAGTGTTCTTGGCAGCCTCGAACAACCTTGGCAAGGCTCATTCTTATCAGAGACAATTAGTTTGAAACAGCCTTTTCACCAGGAAGGAACGGAATTCGTAAAGAATCGTTAAAAGGTTTTGCTGTTACCTCTGTTCTGTGTTTGTTTCCTTGGAACAAGGTCTGAGTCAGAACAGTCAGGGGTGCCAAACTGGATTTCATTGAGGGCTGCACCAGGGCCAGGGTAGGTGTGGCCAGGATGGGTGTGGCTAGGGTGGGTGTGGCCAGCTCAACATCACTCAAGTCAGGGGCACCTATGGTGGCCAAGTACGAAGGCAGGACTTCCCCTCAGATCTTCCCTCCTTCTCATTCTAACCAACCTTCCTTCCTTCCTTCCTTCCTTCCTTCCTTCCTTCCTTCCTTCCT